CTAGCACCTCTACCCCCACCTCTAGCTGGCTGGGCGGGCTGTGGGACACTCGGTGCCTGAAGCATGGCATGGGAACCCTGATGCTGAGAGCTGCTCGATGCTCGAGGGCAAAATCTAGCAATATGCCTCATGTCGCCACAAGTAAAACAATCCCTCGACTGCTGGGGCTGACGAACCTGAAAACTCTGAAGCGGAGGTGCACTGATAGGAGCTGGCGATGCACTATAGGATTGCTGATCAGAATACTGCATGTTAGAACCATGGCCACCTGGAGCACTGTGAGAAACCTGAAGTGCTGACTGAAAAGGCCTAGGAGGATGGCCTCTACCAAAAGAATCCCTACCTCCAGATGAGGCACCACTGAATCTGCCTGAATGACGAGGCCTCTTGTCAGACCCCTGACCACCCCTCTGGGATAAAACCATCTCAACCCTGCTGGCCACATTGGTCGCATCCTGAAAGGAAATCTCGCTCCCCGTCTCCTTAGCCATCTGAAGTCGAATAGGCTGTACGATTCCCTCAATGAACCTCCTCATGCTCTCTCTCTCAATGGGAAGTATAAGAAGAGCATGACGGGCCAAGTCAATAAATCTGGTCTCGTATTGAGTAACAGTCATAGAACCCTGCTGGAGACACTCAAATTGCCTCCGGTAGTTCTCATTCTGAGTGATAGGAAGAAACTTCTCCAAGACTAGCTGAGAAAACTGATCCCAAGTCAGAGCTGGTGACCCAACTGGCCTAGCCAAGCAATAATCTCTCCACCAAGTCTTGGCGGATCAAAACAGTCGAAAAGCAGCAAAGTCAACCCCATTGGTCTCCACTATCCCCATGTTCCTGAGAACCTCATGACAGCTGTCTAAATTATCCTGGGGATCCTCAGAAGATGCACCGCTGAAAGTGGTAGTGAAGAGCTTGGTGAACCTGTCCAATCTCCACAAGGCATCAGCAGACATAGCTTCTCCATCAGCGGTCTGAGCTATCACACCCGGCTGAACGTCTCCAACTGGCTGAGCTGCTGGAGTCTGAAACTGGGGAGCCATCTACTCCGGAATGCGGGTAGCAGGAGTCTGGGCTCCTCCTCCAGCCTGAGAGACGGCTGGTGCTACAGGAAGCAAGGCTGCCCGGGTGACACTCTCCATAAGGCCCACTAGACGGACCAGAGCATCCTGGAGTACTGGGGTAGCAATGAACCCATATGGGACATGAGCTGGGCCCACCAGAACTGCCTGGGCCGGAACCTCCTCATCAAACTCAACCTGAGGCTCCGCCACTGGTGCTGCTGCTCTGGGCTGAGCTCTTCCCCTGCCTCGGCCTCTAGCACGGCCTCGGCCTCGCCCTCGCCCTCTGCCCCTCGTGGTAGCTGCCGCTGGGGGCTTGGGCTGCTGATCACTGGATGAGGAAGTGCGTGTTCTCGCCATCTGTGAAAGAACAGAGTAGAAATTCAATTAGCATTGAGAAACCAAACAGCACGACAGGAAAGAATAGATGTGAAGTTTTTCCTAACTCTGTAGCCTCTGGGGGATAAATACAGATGTCTCCGTACCGATCCCTCAGATTCTACTAAGCTTGTCTGTAAATTGTGAGACCTAAGTAACATAGAGCTCTGATACCAACTTGTCACGACCCGGATTTCCCACCCTCGGGAGTCGTGATGGCGCCTACTCGTGAAAGCTAGGCAAGCCGAGTATTATAAATTCATTACCCTTTTTATTAAGCATGTTCAACAATTCAAAGTAATAAGTGATTAAACAGCGGAATAAATCAAATAACCAGAGTGCGGAAGACAGAAACTTAAACATTGCTACATAATCTGGCGTACAATACTACCCAAAATTTGGTGTCACAATTTCACAGACTGTCTTAGTGTACTACAAATAAAGGTCAGAAAAATAAATACAGACTGTTTCAGAAATACATAAAAGAAACAGTAGAGAAAGATAGAAGGAGACGCCAAGGCCTGCGGACGCCTGCAGGACTACCTCGGGTCGCCTAAATGGACTGAAGACAACACTCTCACTGCGGTCCAAATGCTCTGGTATCGGTATCTGCACACAGTGCAGAGTGTAGTATCAGCACAACCGATCCCATGTGCTGGTAAGTGCCTAGCCTAACCTCGGCGAAGTAGTGACGAGGCTAGGACCAGACTACTAAATAAACCTGTGCAGTTAAATCATATACAGCGGAAAATAAAAGCAGATATTCACAGTTAAAGATGTGGGGGGAGACATGCTATGGAGAGTATAAGATACCAACAAAATACTAAAGAGGAATGTAAAGAAACCATAATTTAGTTGCCAACAACAATAAGGAAACAAACACAGTATTCACTTCATTTCTTTCTCGTTGCAGGCGTGCAACCCGGTCCCATTTCATATATATCGTTGCAGGCGCGCAATCCGTTCCCATTTCATATAGTACCGTTGCAGGCGTGCAAACCGCTCCCATTTCATATAGTACCATTGCAGGCGTGCAACCTACTCCCATTTCATATATTACCGTTGCAGGCGTGCAACCCGCTCCCATTTCATATATTACCGTTGGAGGCATGCAACCCGCTCCCATTTCATGTATCAACACCAACCATAGAAGAATCTCGGCAAGGGAACAATAATACAACAACAATATCCCGGCAAGGGAACAATAATATAACAGCTACATCTCGGCAAGGGAACAATAATATATCAACAACATCCCGGCAAGGGAACAAGAGTATAACAACAACATCCCGGACAATAGCATAAACAATAACATCACGGCAAGGGAACCAACAATGATAATCATCATATTAGACATGGATAAATCACAAAGGAGTCACAACAATTACAATAGTAGACTCACGGGCATGCTTGACACCGACGTATAGATACTCGTCACCATGCCTATACGTCATACTCCATAATTAACACATAGCAAATACGACACAACTCCTAATGTCTCAAGCTAAGGTTAGACCAAACACTTACCTCGATGCCACGAACACAATTCAAGCCTCAACTACCGCTTACCTCTTGATTCCACCACCAATTCGCTTGTATCTAGGCTACAATTTACTTAACTATATCAATAAATGCTAAATGAATCAATTCAAATGCATGAAAATAGATTTTCTAAAGTTTTTCCCAAAAAGTCAAAAATCGACTCCGGGCCCACATGGCCAAAACCCGAGGTTCGAACCAAAACCCGAGGTTCGAACCAAAACCCATTTACCCATTCACCCACGAACTCAAATATATAATTTGTTTTGAAATCGGACCTCAAATCGAGGTTCAAATCCCCAAAATTTGAAAAATCTAAGTTCTACCCAAAACACCCAATTTTCCCCGTGAAAACCTTTGAATTTGAGTTTAAATCATGTAAAAAGATGTTAAAGATTAAAGAAAACGAGTTAGAAATGACTTACAATCGATTTGGAAGAGTAGTTGTCTTTGAAAAATCGCCCAAAGGTGTTTAGGTTTTGAAAATGTTGTAAAAATGGTTGAAATCCCGTCTAAAATTCATTTTAGCAGGTCTCTGATGTCGCAATTGCGACCAGGGTTCGCAATTGCAAACCCTTCAGAAGTCTGCTTTCTTCGCATTTGCGAAGAAATCGTCGTATTTGCGACCCTGAGGAAAACTGGTCACCTTCGCATTTGCGAGGGAAACTCCCCCGAGCCCTCGGAGCTCCAAACCAAACATGCACGCAAGTCCAAAAATATCATACGGACTTGCTCGTGCGATCAAATCTTCAAAATAACATCAATAACTATGAATTAAGCCTCAAATTCATGAAATCACTTAAGAACATCAAATTTTCCAATTTTCTCAAATAAGGTCCGATTCACGTCATTTCAAGTCCGTTTCTTACCAAATATTACAGGCTCAACTTAAATCACATATAAGACTTGTAGCAGGCTCCGGAACTAAAATACGGGCTCGATACCATCAAATTCAATTACATTCAAATTTCCAAAAAACTCTAAGACTTTCAGTTAAACAATTTTCTTCAAAAATTCATTTCTCGGGCTTGGGACCTCGGAATTCGATTTCGGGGATACGCCCAAGTGCCATATTTTCCTACGGACCCTCCGGGACCGTCAAATGACGGGTCCGGGTCTGTTTACCCAAAATGTTGACCAAAGTCAACCTAAATTTATTTTAAAAGCAAAATTTATTATTTTTCGCAGATTTTCACATAATGACTTTTCGGCTACACGTCCGGACTGTGCACGCAAATTGAGGTGAGGCAAAAAGGAGGTTTTAAGGCCTCGGAACATAAAATTTACTTTCAAAACGAGTGATGACCTTTTGGGTCATCACATAAATCCAAAAAGAAGGAACAGAAAGGGTAAAAAAACTTACAGAATTCACAAGGCTTGCAAAAGTCTTGGAAGTGGAAGAGGAAAGATAGATTTTTGTTTCTGGTGAAGTTATGAAAGTAGAATCTATCTATTAATATAGAAAAGGAGAGGCAAATCCATTATATTGTGCCAAGTGTCAAACCGTGGTCTCGACACGTGTCAAAATTCAGACAACACTCCAATAATCATGGAGATTCAAAAAATCTATAAAATAAAAAATAATTTGCAGTTTTTAAAGCATTAATATGTTTCAGTTAATTATCTTAATAGTTCCACATTAATTTGCAGCTTGGATAAAGCATTAAGAGTCCCACGTTAATTTGCAACTTGGATAAAGCATTAGGAGTCCCACATTTGTTTAAGTTATTTCTTGGATAAAGCGTTAATAAGTTTCAATTATTTCCATCAAGAGACCCACGTTTGTTTATCTATTCATCACTCCCACATTTTTTGGACTCCCATGTTTCTTCATCACGATCATCTAATTCAAAATTTTGAACTCCCACGTTTCTTCATTAGTTATTTATTAAATTTATTATATACCTGAATATTCAACTGAAAAAATTCGTTACAAATAATTTTAATTTTAATAGTTTTAATAGGAAGAAAGGGAAAAAATACTCCACGATCCTTAATGAAAATCCTGGCTCCGCCACTGTATGTTCCTCGCTCAATTAATTTTGCCCATATTTTCTCTTCTTTTTCCTTTATCTGTTTTCTTTTCTGCGCTTCTTTTAGGTTCTCCTCTTCCTAATTTCGCAATTCAATGGCTATTGTGGGTTAAATCTGCGAGTGTGATTAGAAGCAGATAGAGACAAAGAAATAGATAATGGTAGTAACTTCATTTTCTTTAGACTCTTTGAAGATTCTCTTTGAAGCAGGTTAGATTGGAGGACTTCTTCTTCTGTTCTCTTTGCTGCTCTTTTCTGATCTTTCCTCGGATCTTTTTTTCTTCCGCTCCTCTTCTTTGTCTTTTTTCTCTCAGTACTTTTTTTTGGGCTCTCTTCATACTTCCTAATTTCGCAATTTCATTGTTGTTCCGTGCTAAATGGGTATGACTCGAGTAGATAACAGTAAAGAAAACTATCTATTTCTGTAATAAGATTCATTTTTTTCAAATTATGACAAGCTGGTTTGTATCAGACTAACCTTGAGATGATGCTATGACTTTTTCTTTTGTTTTCCTCCAAAGCAAGCTTTAAACAGTGAGTTTTCTATGTATTTAAATCCCCTTTTAATTTTTGGTTTAAACATGGAGGAATGGGGAGGAAGGCAAATATGCTTCTGCGAAGTTATTGCTATTTAATTCAGTTGCCTATATTTGTATTTTTCTTTATGCCTAATCTCCATGTGTCTATAGAAACATATTAATTAACATAAGGTGTTTAATTGGATCACAGTATCACCCTAATAAGTCTTTTGGCTTCTGGTATCATCTCTTGTGATTAACTATAACCTTTCTGATATACACTATTGCACCTTAAGATATAATTTTGAAGCCAGTGTTGTTAAAACCACTTAAAGTGAGCTTAAGCCCTAAAGCTCGGAGAAGCTCAAGTTGTGCGCTTATCCTTGCTTTTTATTGAGACATTAACTACTTAATTAGGAAGCAATTCATAAAGTTGAAGCTGCCTATATTATTCACTTAAAATTAAATTTTGTCGCGCCTCCCGTATGTGTGCTCAATACTCAGAATATTAGCATAATAGCTATTTTATGCAATTATTGATATACTGATACTGAATGAAATATCGTGGGATTTATCTTTTAAAACACTCAAGTGTGTGCAGCATGTGTTACTTACTGCTTAGAATTCTTCATGGGTTGAGGCTTGGAATTTTACATAAAGTTGTGATGCATCCGGAATGCAAGTTGTTGCTGGTGGATTCTTGGGATTGGCTATAGCAGCAATTGCATGCAATCACGGGCTCCAAAATGTCAAGCATGAAGGTAGCGAAGCTGTTGCATTCCGTTGTTGCGACCATACGAAGAATCAAAATAATAGATAGTTATCACCAAATTTGTTTATTACTTTATCTCATTTCTGAATTCCCCTTCAAGACACTATATACAGTTATGTGAACCAATATTGACGAAAGTCCCTTCCTCTAATACAGGTAATCTGATCTTCATTATCTACCACCACTTTTCCTATATTATGTATTTTTATGTGTGATGATGTTTTAAAATAGATTGTTAACAAAGAGCTGTATGCCTTTCTTTTCTCCACAATTTGAAACTCTCTTTCCCCTCTGTTTATGTAACTACAAAAGTATTTTTCAGTTTGTCCTAATTTAGTTCTTATTGCTGGGCATGATATGTGAGCATATAGGAGTTGGATGTAAAATATGGCCCACGTGAGTATTTTGGTTTAATATAAATATATTTTATTAAATTAATATTTGGATAAAATTAGGGGAAGTTAATTATGGTCATAACTCCCCACTAACCCACTTTGATGGAAAGTGGGGGAAGTTAATTATGGTTATAACTCCCCACTAACCCACTTTGATGGAAAGTGGGAATTAACTGATGGTCCCTCTCTCTGCCTATTAAAAGGAAGAATAGCGTACTCCATCTATTCTATTCGGAAAAGAACATAGAAAAGGAAAAGAGAGAGAAATACTGATTTTCTCAAGAACAGCAACTCTGAAGAAGACTTCCGCTCAATTTAATTAAGAAAACACATCATGGATTCAGGTAAGTTTTCTTAATTGAAGTTATTGTATCTCTATTTTATGTGAAAATCATATAGTTCCACGGTTCTGAATAATTGAAAGGATTTATATAGATTGTTTATAAATCACAATCTAGAATTGAGAAAATCCTAACATGTGGTATCAGAGCACAGGTTTAGGAACTAATGATTTTCCGCTAAAATTAACGTTTCCTTAATTTTGTGAATCCTAATTGTGTATTCAAGGAACTTCACAATTACTGTCAATAGTAATAGCGAAGCAGATATAAATTGATTTTTATGTGTTGATGACCAATAGTATATTTGATTATCATTTGATTTCATGATCCTGTTCGCTTTGTGGATTCGACAAGTAAAAGATTTGCTTCAAATACTTGACTTCATAATTAGTAAGTAAACGTGAAATTGTGAAAACAATATTCATCACGCTAGTTAGACACAGTAGAATACTTATGAATTTATTGGATTCGGCGATGTGGATTCAATGATAAAATCCAAACTTAAGAATTATATTTGAAAGAATACCGTTTCAAAATTTCATTGGAATTATAAACATGAGGTTTGTTAATCGCCAAAGTGATCGAATCATTATGAATAATTAATTCCAAAATAATGATTTGTTATACCCAATTACCCATAAGTTTTGATGTTTATAAACGACATGATGGATATTTTTTGACATTTATGGATCGCCCAAAGATTGATTGTTTGTTCTTATAATTACTGAACATTAAGTCGATAATTTAAATGTATCGTTAGTTTTATTTATTTATCCAAAGACAGTAAATACTACTAACTTGTACGTTAAAATTATCGAATTGTGTAAAATTTATTTTAAGCATCATTAAAAAAAAGTATTTTGTGTTACGCCCAAAGGTGGACATCAATATACATTTAAGAGTAAAACATAAACCATTCTGAATTTAACGATATATTTAATTTTAACTCAAAGCATTAATGAATGGGCATATTTTATTTGCAGCACTTGCTCTTCATTCGCACTCCGCTTCTGTTACGACCTTTAACGGACTCAACTTCTCAGATTAGTGAGAACAGATAAAATTCCATCTTGAATTTTTAGATCTCGATGTTGCACTTTATACTGAGAGGCCAACAGCTATTACTGAAAGTAGTAGTACTGAAGAAAGGTCATATTTTAAGCACTGGGAGAGGTCTAACAGATTAAGCCTAATGTTTATACGAATGAATATTGCGGGCAATATTAAGACTACTCTTCTCAAAACTGAAAGCACGAAAGAACTTCTAAAACTTGTGGAAGAATGCTCCCAAACTGCTGATAAGTCTCTTGCTGGGACACTAATGGCACTACTGGAAAATTCACCTATGGCTACGCAGGGAAAACCGTTCCAATAGGAAAGCCAACCGTTGCCATAGATGTACTGCTACGGTTCAGCGCCCGTTCCACGAGCTGCCGTGGCTATAGAGTTTATGGAACGGTTTTTGAAACGGTTCCAGTAACCGTTGCTATAGCATAGTCTATCGTTACGGTTTTCCCTCCTCCTGTTGGAACGATTATTCTTATCAATTGCAACGGTTAATAACCGTTACCGTAAAGTTAAATGCAACGACCATAAACCGTTACTATATCTATCAAAATCGTTACAGGTATAATAGAAATGGCAACGATTTCTTTAAGATATTGCAACGGTTAAACTACCTATTGCAATGGTTTAGAGATTGTTTTGGAACGGTTTGTAGATACTATGGCAACGGTTCACTAACATATTGCAACTGTTGTTAGATTATTTTGGAACGGTTTGCAGGTCCTATGGCAACGGTGATCTACCTATTGCAACAGTTTTTATATGATTTTGGAACGGTTTTCAGACCCTATGGCAACGGTTTTGTTAGCTGTAACAATTTAATTGAATTAAAAATAGTGCCCCCTATTGTAAATAAAGATTTTACGTAAATATACAATAAACTATAAAACACTAAAATTTATATAAACACAAAATGAAACTTTTGATAATCCAAATTGTCGGACAAGTTAATTATAAATCCATAGATAGTGATGAAACCAATAACAATTTGATATTTCAACATCAAAAGTTTTAAAATGTTTTGATAACAAACATTCCTAGAAACCGCCACATGCATCTACAACAATCAACAATTCAAAATTCAAGTAAGGTCTAGATCTTCATCACTCCCTCCGTCTTCCATCTCTTCATCTACTCCACCTACAAAAGAGTAGTATAAAGTGAGATTTGCAAAATGGATTAAAGATAAAACATTTGCTATTTAACTCTAACAAGACATGAAACCATGTTCAAATGTGTGGAATCAAGGAGCCATGTTCTCTTTATGCATTTTCAATGCATGCTATTTCCTGAAGCTATTGCCTTTGGTCTATTGTTTAAGACCTTGTTTATCATAATGATGTTGCTCAAGTATAGAAAATAATATAAAAACTTCTTCAAAAAAGGAAAAAGAAAAAAGAAAAAAAA